GTATGGGGAATTTTCAGGAGGCGATGGCTTCTCCAATTGATCGGGTGGGGCCGTAACTGATGTCTTCCTTCGGCTGATGTCTTCGTGATGTCCAGGGGCAGGGGTAGAGGGGCGATGAGGGGAAAAGTGAGGGAAGGGGTATCCAACGGTGGCGGGATTTACATTTTAGGGGGCAGTGTGTAGTAGGAAGAAATATGTAGAAAAGTAATAAAAAATAAATGAATATGCCTCGTCACACCTTTTACATTCAATTGATTGTTCGATTATTCGATTGGCAAAGAATTTTATTTGAATGAATTCAGCGTTATAAAGCTGTTCTGAGTTTATAACTTGCAAATATATATGCTATTGAGTAGTTTTTCTTGGTAATCCCGACTGATTCAACTATAAAATGCATTTTTCTACATTCATTGAATGATAGGAAGGCATTGCGAGCTGTCGGATGAGAAAAAGCATCATTAGATTGCATTCTTAATTTTTTTCCCCTAAGAAGGACTGGCGATCCCATGATGCCCTCTTCACTGAAAGATAAAAAAAAAATTAATGCTTCTCTCAAGTAAATGAATATTTAAGTTTAAATTTAATTGTGTGCACAGACGTCGAGTTTTTTTCATGTTATTAATTGTTAATGTCTTGTATTTCCATTGGAAGGATTCTTCGTCAAGTGGGCCACCTATTTTCATCATGTCTGCAAATTCATTTAAGGTTGTTTTTCCTTGGTTGCTATATTTTTTTGGGGATTTTTAAGATTTTTTCCAGATTTTTAATAATAATAGGAGTCTAGGTACGAGACAGATGAACGATTTATCGATTTTATTCACTCTCAACTTACTGGTGGGGGAAAAATTATTTTAAAAATACATAAAAAATCAATTTTTTTCTCAGCTTTCTAGTAAAAATATTTTCAAATTTTTTCGAATAGAAATAAGCACAAAAAATGCGAAAAAACTAGAAAAAACAGCGTAAAAGCGTGATTTTGAACCTTATGGCCGGGTTAATTTTGATGAAAAAATTCAAGGATACTTTTGTTATAACACTTATCTTTCAGTGAAGAGGGCATCATGGGATCGCCAGTCCTTCTTAGGGGAAAAAAATTAAGAATGCAATCTAATGATGCTTTTTCTCATCCGACAGCTCGCAATGCCTTCCTATCATTCAATGAATGTAGAAAAATGCATTTTATAGTTGAATCAGTCGGGATTACCAAGAAAAACTACTCAATAGCATATATATTTGCAAGTTATAAACTCAGAACAGCTTTATAACGCTGAATTCATTCAAATAAAATTCTTTGCCAATCGAATAATCGAACAATCAATTGAATGTAAAAGGTGTGACGAGGCATATTCATTTATTTTTTATTACTTTTCTACATATTTCTTCCTACTACACACTGCCCCCTAAAATGTAAATCCCGCCACCGTTGGATACCCCTTCCCTCACTTTTCCCCTCATCGCCCCTCTACCCCTGCCCCTGGACATCACGAAGACATCAGCCGAAGGAAGACATCAGTTACGGCCCCACCCGATCAATTGGAGAAGCCATCGCCTCCTGAAAATTCCCCATACTGGACTCCCGAATATTCAACACCTGCAATAATCCCTTGCGAGACATCCCTGGATTGTGGTCATCGTCACCACTCACCCGTGCTGATTGGCCCCGATTGCTCCTGAATTAAAACCCGAAGGACTTCGACACCTGACGAACCCCCACGAATCGTGGAGGAAAAGGAAAGACCGTCACTCGTGTAACCGCTGTCCTGGACCCTGCCACGTGCACCCCAAGAGTTGAAGAAACAGTGCAAATACCCCGAAGAATCCGGATATTGGATTTTGTGTTCGAGTAAAGAGGATTTTTGGTGCCCGAGCTCATCCCGATTCTAAATATCGTGCCCCTGGAGTCTGGAAGGAGGAACGAAGGCTCAATCGCTGGAGTCGCTGAAGGACCCGGATTAGACCTTAACAGGAAGTCGTGAGTACGAGTTGTCCCCCTCATTTCCCCCTCGCCTAAAGAAGTATTCCTTTTCATACCCCCCAACGGTGAGCCTACACTCTTTCGTTTCTTCCCCATTCAGTCATTATTTTCATATTTAGTTGCATTCCCTCGACACGACCAGCTTCTCCCCTTTTTCTGCATTAGAGTCACTCCCTTTTTACGTGTACACAAGTTGCCTGGCCTCCCCCACTCCCTAGATCTCAGTAAAGGCCTTATTTACGTCTTTTGACGATCATAATTGTATTTAGAAAAGAATATAGATTATTATTCTCAAATTATCCCTTATTTGTCCCTTTTCTTGACTCGCCCTAATCCTTTTTTCAGGAATTAGTATTATAGAATCTAGAAAACGGTCACATTGGGTTCTCCGGGTGAATTTTCTGAGGGTCTGGGGGTATCTTGGGGTCCTATGGGGAACTTAGGAGCTTACTGTCCCTTCTAGGGGCAATTCGAGATAAATCTCTTCAGTTTAAATCTCGGATTGTCCTGGAGATAAAGAATATGTGGGTTTGTCAGAGTGTTCTGCTGAACAATCATCATCATTCTACTCTGTCCTTACCGTTTCGCGGTACCTCTGTATATACTCTGGGGTAGGGGAAGGGTCAATGGGGGTGTTACTCGCGAAAATGAGCGGGGTATGGAAATTTACTTCGTCCGTGTNCCACGATATTTTTGCCGAGGGGAATAAAGCGTCCTTGTACGAGGGCAGGTGGTTTTACAGAACTGATTCCGATTTCTAGGGACTCTTCGAGGGGAGCTGACGTAGGGGCTGATAGGGCACTCTTGCACAATCTGATCAGATGAATGGTGTCGATAATTACTAAAGAGGTCCAGGGGACTCATGTTTCGTGGGTTGAGGCTAGGGGGTCGAGGCATAATGGGATCCATCAGTGCGGGGATAGTGGATGAACTCGGGTGATAGGGGGAGGGTATCTGACTCTTTGCTACCTGAGGAATATAAGCATGTGCGGGGACGTTGCTTTCTTCAGCAGAGGGAGGAGGTCTGTACCGTAGGGCATTTCTATCGGTCCACTCGACTTGATGAGCTCGAGTCAGTAGCTGGGCATACGTAGTGAAACTGTCACGATTGATACGTTTAGTATACTGGAGGTGGAGTTGAGTGTAAACAATGTTTAATTGTCTCTCGAGGGGTGGTGGGTGGTCCAAATTTGCGAAAAGTCCTCGCATGCCAATAGTATAATCTCTAACAGTTTCCTGAGGGGCTTGAGTACGACGATAAATGTCTTGCCATGTACTCTCTTCATGACCAATGGGGCAAAAAGTGGCTTTAAAAGATAATATGAACTCTTCGTATGAAAGGATGTGGTGATACTCGAGGCGATACCATGTACGCGCATTATCCTTGAATACTGCAAAAAGGGCACGAAGGGTTTCTTCCTCACTGAGGTTATTGGCTATCCGCCAATCCTCGATTTCTCTAAGAAAAATGTAGGGGTCCTCTTATTTGGCCCCTGAAAATGTAATTCCTTCTCGTTTAAAAATTTGACTGACTTTCAATTCTCTAATTGAAAGGTCTGCCGAGGTCCGGTCTCTAAATATGACTGCTTTAGGGGTAGTATGAGAGAGGGGATGATGCGTAGAGAGGTGCAAAGATGGCTGGTGGGGGAGAGGGGCGGCAAAGGGGGGAATCTCTATGGGAGCGAGAGCCGTAAATGACAGCTTCTGCGGCAATGGGGGTGGGGATAGATGTAAAGGGGCGCCGTCGGCCTTGGGACTAGCAGCATGAGGGGAAATATGGGTTGTCGAGGGCTGCAAGGGTCGAAGGGGGCTAGGGGATAATGTTGGGACACGAGGGGAAGTAAAGAATGGAGTCACGGGTGTAGGAGTGTTGCTTGTAGGACTAATTGGGATGCTTCTACTTGAGGTATGCAACGGCCGATTATGCGCGGTCTCAAGCTCAATTCTCTTATTATCATCATCAAGGGTCAATTCAATTGGGTTTGCCGTACTGAGAGCGGGTTCGCTTCGTTTGGGTGTCTGCAGTCGTATAGGTTGAGGGGAAAATTCTTGAGTTGAGGGGGTCGCTGTCGAAGGTGATGGGGTCGCGGGGGTTCGAATCAGGAGAAAATAACCGAAAATAATGAAAAGGTCTTTCAACCGACTGACATCGAAAATTGAGAGGGGGTTCCATTTACTGTCAATAAAATAAACTACAAAATATGAGATTATTGCAATGGAAAAAATTACTTGACTCACCAACCGAAAAGTGGGACCGATTGTCCAACGTACTTTCAACTCAACAAATTGTTTTTCAGATGTATGGAATTCCATTCTGAAATATTNACGAGGGGAAGTAAAGAATGGAGTCACGGGTGTAGGAGTGTTGCTTGTAGGACTAATTGGGATGCTTCTACTTGAGGTATGCAACGGCCGATTATGCGCGGTCTCAAGCTCAATTCTCTTATTATCATCATCAAGGGTCAATTCAATTGGGTTTGCCGTACTGAGAGCGGGTTCGCTTCGTTTGGGTGTCTGCAGTCGTATAGGTTGAGGGGAAAATTCTTGAGTTGAGGGGGTCGCTGTCGAAGGTGATGGGGTCGCGGGGGTTCGAATCAGGAGAGAATAACCGAAAATAATGAAAAAATCTTTCAACCGACTGACATCAAAAATTGAGAGGGGGTTCCATTTACTGTCAATAAAATAAACTACAAAATATGAGATTATTGCAATGGAAAAAATTACTTGACTCACCAACCGAAAAGTGGGACCGATTGTCCAACGTACTTTCAACTCAACAAATTGTTTTTCAGATGTATGGAATTCCATTCTGAAATATTAAAAGGGCTCACGAGTTCAATTTACCACTTGTTTAAATTCAAAAAAAAAAAAAAACGACGGGAGAATGTGGGGACGACGAGGGGGGGGGGGCGTATGAGGGGATTTATAAGATTTGTGAGAACAGTGGGAGACCAGAAATGAAATCCGAGGGAATGACCAAATGAATACACGAGGAGGAGAGGGGGGGGGGGACAAGGGGAATAAATTCGAGGGCACACAGTAGTCAGAAATAATTTCGAGAGGAAAAATATTCGAGAGAAAAATATATTCGAACGAGAATGCACAGTATAAAATAAAGATGAGTGTATCGGGCGACCGTAACTGCGTTACGCAATCATAACAAACCCGCAACAGTGAGCCACACAAAGAGAAC